TGTCATCTCTGGGGACTGAGCTTAAGGAGCAAAGCTCTGGAGCAGTATGCACCCCTCCAGAAGGCCTGGACCACACTGAGTGAAAAGGAGCTGTCTTGGGCCACATATAAAATATATAAAATAGTTAGTGTAATAAATAACAACTTCTGACTGGATGTGGTGGTGCATGCCTGTAGTCCCAGCACTCGGGAGGCTGAGACAGGAGGATTGCCTTGAGTTCAAGGCCAACCTGAACTACATAGCAAGACCCTGTCTCAAGAATTTAAAAAATGCATATGGGTAACAAGTCTTTTTATGTCTTTATTATAAATTTTTATTTATTTGGTTGTTTTTGCAGTACTAGGGATGGAACCCAGGGCCTTTGCATTAAGCTATATCCATAGCCCTTTTGTGTATATGTATAAGAGGCAGCATAAACATAAAACTAGTGAGACAGTTTGTTTCTGTGACACTAGTGCATCAGTATCTGGTTCGATGGAAGTGGTTAAGGTTCTCAGTGAGCCCACAAGGTGGTCTCCAGAAGTTTTTCATCTAATTCTACTCTGCATGTGCTTCTCAAACGTGCGTACTGCCAAAAGTGATGGCATGAATAAGGCGTAATCATGAAGGGAGCCATATTTTCCTTCAGGATTATCGGTCTTAATGAAAGTCTGATAAAGAGACGTGGTTGAATTTTTCTTTGAGTTGAATGTCTGATTGCAAATCTGTATGTTCCAAAAACTAACAAATAAGTAACCATTTATTTTTCTAATATTAGCAGTGCTGTATAAGTAATTTTAATAATATGACCAAAACACCATTTGCCATAGTTTTGTACTTTCTGTACCACAGCTGCTAAGAAACTATTTTAGCTTATTTTAACTTATTAAATTATTTTGTGAAACAATACAACAAGCCCAAGTTTAATAATCAAATCAGAAAACCTACATCAGTGCTTCAGAGAGGTAAACGCCTGTCTTCCCAGGCGCACCCATGTGTAGGTAGTGAGGTCCTGTTATATCCACAGTCACTGTGTAACTCACTGTCCACACCTGCATGTGACATCTGATACACTTCGGTTTCAGTTCAGCTGACTGTGTGGCGGGGCAGGAGGCGGAACTGCACTGCGCCTTCCCCTGCACAGCGTGTCATTGTCACCTGTGTGGTCACTTGAGCCCCCACACTTGAGTCATGAAAAATATTGCTAAAAGTCCTGTAATCCTGTGAAAAGTTCACAGTCTTCTCTGGCCATATTACTAGCTGTCCAGGGCCACGTGTGGGCCATGGGCTGGACACACCTGAAGCCTTTCTGTGCCTCAGTTTCCACATTTGTAAAATGGTGGTGCTGCTACCAACCCCAACCTGCAGCCGGGGCTGACGAGCTGCACTTAGAGTTGGCCCAACTGGTGCAGTGACAGAGTAGCCAGCCCGGCTGCTGTCACTAGCAGGAGGATTTTACTCTCAGGAGGTAGAGCCGGACAGGCACCACCCACACAGGGGCAGGAGGACCTAGTGACATGGAGCATAAGAAGAGCTCTGTCAACTATAGACGACCAGCCCCAGCGAGGGATGTGCTCATTCCCCTGCCCAGCCAGCCGGCCTGTCTGTCAGAGCCCCGGAGGAACCTGTTTCCTCTCACCATGTGGCACACCGGGGTGGGGACCTTGGGAGGAGGGAGTTGGCAGGGTGCCACTCATGCAGGGAGCAGGGTGGCCTTACCTCCCAAAGCTCCCTGGGTGCTTTGGTTGGAGGGTGGGGTCAGGGCAGGGGCGGAGATCTCATTCTTGGATCTTGCTGCCCACTGTCCTGGGACCCAGCAGGGCTGTTTGCTGAGGGCTGGGCAATCCGGCTGGCAGCCAGTGAAACTAAGCTTGTGTGCAGTGATTCCCAGGAAAATTCTGCAGCAACCCAGGGAGAAGAGTTGGGTTTGGGGTTTCTGTGAGCGTGGTCTTTGGGGCTTTGATCCTGGATGAGTCATGAAATTTCAGATGAGAGACAGTATCTGTGCCCTCTCATCCCACTGGGGGCACAAGGAAGGGGTCTTCATAGCCCCACAGGCACCCTGGCAACTCAAGACTTGCTCGTGGGCCGAGAACTTGAGTTTGAACCTTCCGAGCGCTGGGATTGGTTGCCAGCATCTCTGTCCCTCCTTGTGCCTGATTTGATTATTCTTCCCACGTGCTCCTTCATGTCATTTAGGTAATGTTAGTGATCAGGTGAATATTCCGAGTACTGAGATGATTCATATTGTGTATACATCTGTTGTAATGGTTAAAGCTAGGAAAAGCCAGGCATGGTGGTGGTGCACACCTGTGATCCCAGCATCTGGGAGGCTGAGGCAGGAGGATCACAAGTTCAAGCCCTGCCTGGGCAACTTAGCAAGACCTGATCTCAAAATAAAAATAAAATGGCTGGCCCCAGTACTGCAAAACAAAAAACCAGGACTGCCCATTTCTCAAATGCCCAAGTACACTCATTTGTGTCACATATTTGATCTTTTTCACCATCCTATGGGAGAGGCAGCTCCCATTTTATAGTTGTGAAAACTGAGGCTCAGTTGGAGCAACTTGGCCCAGGCTGCATAGCCAGGAAGTGGCCAACCTGATTCTACTAGCCCAAGGCCCCCAGCCTGCCAAGTGCCCTCAGACCTCACAGCAGAGAGAGCCACGAGGAAACCCTGAGACCCCTGGGGAAGGCCAGGCCTCTGCTTGTTGGGTACTAGTCACCGCCACTAAAATCACTGTGACATGCACGTGTTTGCGTTTCAGCATGTTGGGATGCAGGGCCCAGAGCCCACTCCCCATGCCACCTGTCAGGCCCCTAAATGTCAGCAATTGTGATCTAGATTGGAAAAGAAACCAGTTCCTCTCTGGCCATCTTGGGCACAGCCCCTTCTTGGTCCTGGAGCCTGGCCTGTGCTCTTGCAGGGACCTCCCGTGAGCCCCTGTCCTGGCTCTCGCCCCGCTCTGATCCTCTGCCCGGTGCTGCCAGGCTCCAGCCGCCTCCTCAATCGCTCTTGGTGAGGGGCAGACCCAGCCTGCCTGGCAACCGCTTCCTCCTGCCCCAGGAGCCCCTTGCCTCCTGCACGCTGACCCCTCTCCATCCAGGCTGCAGTTGAGTGTGGCCGCTTAGACTTCTTCCCCCTCTGCACGGTCCTCACCACACGAAGGCGTCCCTGGGTAGCCCCCGCCTGCTGCTAATGACAGCCTGCATGGACGGCCGCATGTGGCTGGCGTGTGCGTGTGTACACTGCCAGCCAAGGCGGCTCACCAGCTGTCCCTCCCCCAAGACCACGGCGGCATTACGTGAATGAGAGCAGCATCCTCCACTCCTCTCCTGGCATAAATCCGGACTGCGTTGAGTGTGTGGGTGACTGCAAAATAAATGTTGATTACAGCGCCGGCTCTGGGAGGCAGCGCTGCCAGGGGCCCTGTGGGGCTGGCACCCCAGGATGAATCACGCTGGCTGCCAGGGAGGGAGAGGGCACCATGCTAGCCATGCTGCTCACATGGCCTTGTGCTCCAGCAGCCCCTCTGCCCACTGCTCTTCTGCACTTTTCCTTCCCTTCTCCATGCCAGGGAAGGACCCATTGTCACTGTGAGCCTGTTGAGGAGGGGGCTTCCTAGCCAGCAGGGCCCCTCCACCTAACCCCAGGTACCGCACCCTGCAGATCTTTCTCATCATCTCAGCAGCCTCCTGACACCTCTCAGCAGGAGGAGCCCTCACCCTAGGCCACGGACAAGTAGACTGACGCCCACACGAGGAAGGTGCAAGGGACAGAGCCAGGCCACAGTCATATGTGGCCCTGGCTCTGAGCATCTGTCTCTCAGAGCGCTGGTCACTGTGGAAGGGCATTTCTAATCCTTTAAGTTAAAAAAAAAAAAGCACTGTTATTTTGTGCTTTCATGGTACCCCACATTTTGCACCCCTGTTTTGTGGTTCTTAATCTTGTCTCAACCAAACTGTGAAGTCCTTGAGACAGGCGATCTTAGTGCTCCACCAGCACCCAGCGCCCACCTGACCCCTGGAGTGAATAATGAAAGGAATAATAATAATAATGATAATAGCAGTAAGTCCTTAGTGTGTTGCCAGCCTCATTATCAGGTACATTATTTCCCTTACCTTATTTATCTCTGTGTATGTGTATGTGTGTGTGTGTGTGTGTGTGTGTGTAGTGCTGGGGATTGAATCAGCCCAAGGCCTTCACACTGAGCTACATCCCCAGGCATTTTATATACATTATATATATACTTACAAAAAATTTTTTTGAGACAGGGTCTCACTAAGTTATCTATGTTGGGCTGGAACTTGTGATCCTCCTGCTTCTGCCTTCCACAGTGATGAGATCACAGGGCAGTGCCAGCACACCTGGCTTCTCTCCTTTACTGGGCCATAGAGGTTAGACCCTGCCTTCACTGATGCTCTGGTGTATCTGGTGACCTTGAGCAAGTCCCTCAACTCCTGAACCTCAGTTTCCACCTCTATGCAGTGAGTTTCATTGCCAAAATGCCGTGATCTGTAACATGATCTCATTAGGGCCTGTGTTTTCTCTGTCCCCATTGCAGACAGGGACACCATATCCCTGGGGGGTTGAATTTTCCCGAGGATGCACAGCTCAGTGGCAGAACTTGGGTGGAAGACAGGCCTGCTGGGCGGGCGGGAGCAGCCACCTCTCCCTCTGGGGCTCTGCAGAGCCAGCAGCCGCCTGTCCTGTCCCCTCCCCACCTCCACTGCCTTCTCAGTGGGTCTTGCTCCTGTCCCTGGGCTGCTGTGTGGCGTTTAGGGAAGAGTTGCAGCTGTCAGTCACAGGCAGGCTGGGAGCCCAGGACTTGGGGCTCCGATGGACACTAGGGCCCCCTGTGTAGCAGTGTTCTTAGCTACAGCCAGACACCCAGCTCGTGGGGCTCCTCAAGACCCAGGTCCCTCTCTTCTCTATGTGACTTAGGTTTCCAGGGGACTTGATACCATTTTCCACCAGCCGATCTATTCTCCCTGTCACATCATGACACTGGGGCCACAGATATCATCGGCTGGCTTTATTTTCTCTGGTAAATCTTTTCCCAGACCTTTATTTCTCCTGTCATTTCTGATCACTCCAGATTAAACACAGCAATGGAGAAGCTGGGAGGAGGCTGGGCGAGGGGCGGATGGGGCATAGGCAGAGGTGCAGTCCATGAGGAAGAGCATGGATGTCATCAGCTCAGGTCTTGCCTGTATCTCTTAGTGGCCTTGTCACTTAGACAAAGAGCAGCTTCTCCAAGCCTCAGTTTGCTCATCTGTAAAATGAAAATTAAAATGCCGTAATAGGAACTCAGTAAGTGATGACTACAATTGACTGCCAAGAGCAGACAGCTCTTAATTCTGCCTTTATCTAGGAAGGCAAGAGTTGCCCATAGAGAGGCAGGGCCGGTACTTCCTCCCCCCAGGGCAGGTGAGGACCATGGTACAGAGGGCTTTGGAGTGGGGCTTGGGTGGGATCCAGGGCCCTGCACATACTAGGGAAGCACTCTGCCCTGAGCTGCACACTCAGCCCTCAAGACTTTGCAGAACTGAAAATTCCTACCATGTTTGCATGGAGGATCTGCTGTGTGCCTCAGCCGGGGCCCAGGCCCTGGGTCTCGGGCACAAGGCAAAGTGGACTGTGTGGGCTGGAAGAGGAGCCTCAGGCAGTGGCATGGTTAGGTTTCCCTGGACCTCGGGAAATTCCGGGGAAGTCCTACCTGAGGCAGCACTGTCGTCGGGGATTTGGGGGGCTGGTTTATGCCATGTTGTAGGTCCTGCCCTGGCTCAACCCTGGGTTCTGGCTTCTCCCCTAACTTGACCTTTAGGAGGCTCAGCCCCTCTTAGGGAGTGAGCCCTCCCACACCTGCCATTCTTTGTGTAGCTACATCCCCAGCCCTTTTTAATTTTGCATTTTGAGACACAGTCTCGCTCATTCATTAAGTCGCCCAGGCTGGGCTCAAACTTGGAATCCTTCTTCCTCGGCCTCCCAAAGTTCAGGGATTACAGACATGCGCCACCAAGTCTGGCTGTGTGTTTGCTTCCTTCCTTATGCCGCTGAGGTCAACAGAAAACCTCCATTGTGGTGGGCAGGGAGTGCGTTCTGGGATCTGTCTCCTTCCTCTCTACACTGTGGGGACTCTGACCCTTAGTGAAGCCCCAAGACAAAGGAGGCCAGGCCTGACAGGAGGAGCCAGGGCTAATGGAATGGGGTTTCTTTTCCTTTCCTTCCTTTCTTCTTTTTTATTTTTAAGCAAGAGGTAAATAAATGTCATCCCGAGATGACAAGAGAACATTGAAAGAGATATAAGGACAGTAAAAGGAAGCAAGAGGCCAGAAGCAAGGGACATGGGGCAATTTGGGCTCTGCCCTGCGATGAGCAGAGAGATGAAAGAGGAGAGAAAGAGATGCGCTGGGAATGCAGGACTGAGTGGAGGATAGGGTTGCCACGGAAACGGAAGAGGGGAAGAATGGAGGGAGAAGAAGACAGGATGGAGATGGCTGGAAGGCTTGCCGAGTGGGGGGGACTTGATGCGGCTTGGTGAGAGGGAGGGAAGCCATGAGGGGCTCCTGGGTCTGAACTGAGGTTGGCAGAGGTGGAAGACGCCACCCAGAAAGCCCGGCCTGATGGGGAACAGAATAAGGCCCTCGCCCCCTGCCTGTAGGGACTGCCTCAGTTTCCATAGCTGTAAGAAGGAAGTGCTACTCCTCACCCTCAAAGGGCTGCACCAGGGTCTATGAATAGCACATGCTCCTGACAGGCCCAACATTCCATTAACTGCTCACACTGTCCCTCCTCTGTTTCTGATTCTTATCTTTGTCCCTTCAAGCTCAGGGGCCAGGGTGTTATTTCTCCCTGTCTTGTTAGGCTGGTGATTTGGGGGTCTAGCACAGTGTCCTTGTTTGAGGGACCAGAGTGCTTCTTGCTTCTGGGATTGGAGGAGAGACAGAGCCAGAAACCCAAGGTCTGCTGTGCCTCTCCTGGGAACAAGAATTGGGCCTTCAGCTCAGGAAACGGAACCCAGGCCCAGGGTTTCCACCAAAGCCAGGGGCCTCTCTGCTCTCTCTGCCCTGCAGACGGCTCTCCTCCAAAGGGCGCCAGTGTACTCTGTGTCACTCTGCTGGGGACACAGGGCAGGTGGGCAGACAGGCCAGGACGCTGCCCTCTGGGAGTCGGTCATCTAAGAGATGCCAGATACTAAGCAAGTAATTGCACAAACAGATCATTAATAAACCATTAAAAAGTATAAGGTCCAAAAAGGAAAAATATTAAACTTGAAGCTGCTCAGAACTCAGAACACCAGGCCTGGTTTGGGGTGTTGCAGAAGGTTGGAAATAGAGAAGAGCCTTGCAGGCCCAGTGTGATCGCGGTGGTGCCCAGGGTGGATGTCGCAGTGGGTTGGTTTGGGCCTGGTGCTTGTTTCGGTTCGCTGTCCCTTGACTGACTGTTTGGGTGTCTGAGGCAAGGTGTCTTCCTGCAGGAGGGCTGAGTGTTGGAAACCCTTGCTCCCCACATCCCACAGTACCCTCGCCCACAGCCCCCAAACCATGGAATGCACATACCATTGCAGGTCACATGAAGCTCATGTTCAGCACAGGTGGAGGAAACGAACTAGGACTTGAGAGCTCCCGGGGGAGGGGGGTGCAGTGCCTCAGTTTCCCCATCTGTAAAATGACAGCCTTGGACAGGTGGGTCCCCGAATTTCCTTCAAGCCCTGTAGTGAAGATTGCAGGACTAGCCTTGGGAGGCCACAGTGAATGCCTCTCCCGAAGGGTCTTCAGCAAGGACACCATCCTGCCACAGGGAAGCACTGTCCCTCTCTGGGAGCAAAGAACATGACACTTCCACTCTGGGTGTGGGCTCAGTAGGCGGAGGATCGGGGCCATGGCTTCTTGGGACCTGTGACTTCAGATCAGAGGTGACAGAACACTGAGCACCATCGCCTCCCTCTTGGTCTCATTCATTCATTCTTGGTCCCGTGGTGACAACTATCAGCTGCCTTCCCTCCTCCTCATCCCCACTCTGCTCCCATATTCCCTCTCAAGGCCCTCTGATCTCTGCGCCCACTGCCCGCTGTCTGCGGCAGGGAAACAGGCCTCATAAACAGATCCAATTATGAATCAACATGACTGTATCAGCCGGAGTGCACCAGAGAATAGAACCAAGAGGAGATATACATGGAGAGAGAGAGAGAGAGAGAGAGAGAGAGGTACACAGCAGATTTATTTTAAGAAATTGGCTCATGTGATTGTGGGGGCTGGCAAGTCCGAAATCTGCAGAGCAGGCCAGCAGGCAGGGAACTCGGGCAGGATTTGTAGGTTACAGTTGGAGGCACAATTTCTTCTGGGGAAACAGTGGTTTTTAAGGCCTTCCACTGATTTGATGAGGCCCACCCACGCTACGGGGGTTACCTGCTTTACTCAGTCAGATTATGAATGTTAACCACGTCTACAGAGTACATTTACATCACCATCTAGATGAGTGTTTGACCAGACAGCTGGGTACAGCCACAAGGACCCAGGACGTAAACCATCCCAGGCTGGGCTGCAACTCCATGGCAGAGCCTTGCCAGCATGCTCAAGGCCCTGGGTTCCATGTCCAGCATCACAGAGAATAAAGCAAAATAAAACAGCCACCTCATTGATGGTCTCAGGCAGGGGAAGGGGCCCTTGGCCTGACCAGAACACTTCCTGGGGGGTGGCTCCAGATGCCACAGGGGAAGAAAATTCCAGGGAATTTCTAGTGCCAGGGAAGGGCTGTCCTGGCTGAAGCCAGTCAGCCCAGGGGTAGGAGAGGTGCCTGATAGGACGGCCTTGGGCTGAGGCGTGCAAACAGCATCCCACAGAACAAGGGTGAGAGGAGGTGGCCAGGCCAGAGGCCTGTGTTCTAGGCCTTGCTTAGTACCATCTCACTGTGGGACCTTGAACCAGTCCCTTCCCTCCCTGAACCGCAGTTTCTTTATATTTTAAGAAGAAGGAGGTAAGCCAGGCATAGAAGCACATACTTATAGTCAGTCCCAGCTACTTAGGAAACTGAGGCAGGAGGATCACTTTAGCCCAGAAATTCAGGGCCAGCCTGGGCTGCACAGTAAGACCCCACTTAAAAATAAGTAAGGAAGAAAAGGGAAGGGGAGCATCAGAGCCCTGTTTTGTTGGTGGTCCGGCCACTCTGGCTCCTGGAGTTGGGCTTCAGCAAATCTGTCCACAGAGAAAGGGGAAGCTGAGGCAGAGAGTGAATCCAGAGAGGAAGAAACTCACACACTTCCCCTGAGCCAGCCCTCCCCTGCACCCCCCCCCCCCCCGCCCGGCACCACAGCACCCAGTCCGTGCGGCTGAGCAGAAGTGAGACTTGACAGGGAGCTGTGGCTTGCACAACCATTGCTTGCTTCCACCTCCTCCCCAGAACACAAGCACAGTGTACCTCCAGGTCCGCAGGGAGGACAGCAGCAGAAATGGGCGGCCTCGCTGTCAGGTGGAGCCTGTGCGAGTCTTCTCAACCATCCAGAGCCCAGAATTCCCTCTCCCCTCCTTGGGGCAAAGGGCAGAGCACAGCTAGAAATGGGCCAGAAAGGGAAGGCAGGATCACATCCCAAGGGGCTTGAGTGTCACTCAGGCCCAGCAGTGTCATGCAGGGTGGTGACTCCTGCCTCCCCAAACCTTGTCAGGTCAGCCCCAGGAGGGCAGGAACTTTATTTTGCTCCTGTTGTGTACACTACCTGCTACCTGATGGGCACTCATCAATGGCTCAGTTGCAGGATTAGATCCTGGTGATTCAAGGCCACCATCAAGGGACCAAAGGGCAGAACTGGACCTGGGCACATACCTGTAATCCCAGCCCTTTGGGAGGCTGAGGCAGGAAGATCACAAGTTGAAGGCCAGCCTGGGGAGCTTAGAGACCTAGCAAGACCCTGTCTCAAAAATAAAAATGAAAAAGGGCTGGGTGTGTAGTTCAATGGAAAGGCCCTGGGTTCAATACCCAGTACCACCAAAAACAAGTAGGGCCAGGGATTTAGCTCAATGGTTCCACCACCCACCTCGCAAGTGTAAGGTCCAAGTTTGATCCCCGGTACCAAAAAAAACCAAGCAAACCTGTCCCCCAGCATAAGCCCTGGTTACTACTGAGGTTGCACTGGGGAGCCAGGACCTACCGGGCCTCAAGGAGTGGTCATCAAACTAAACCAGTCATGATGAGTGTCCTGTGTCCTCAGCAGCTTTTGGACAGTGTCTCTGGTGCTGGGAGTTTGAAGCAGATCCCCGTCACCAACCAGGTCCTGTTGGTTCAAAATGGCTCTTGTCTCACCAACCCCAGGCCAGGCCAGGCCTTAGGGGCCACCACCCCAGAGCCAGGGTGTGAAGGGGATTCCATAGGAGGGAACTGGGGGATGAGAGCAGGCACCCTGCATCTTGAGGAGGGGACCCTGCACCACAGGCAGGTAGACAAGGTCTTCCAAGTGGGCCTTGTGCCTATTTTACAGATAAGGAAACTGAGGTGGAGGGGGGCAGTGGGCTTGTCCAGGGTCACAGGGCTGACATCAGTGGTTATGTGAACCATGGTACAATGGAGGAGCGGGCAAAGCAGTAAGTAAAGTAGCAGTGAGAGACCCGGGGTGGGAAGGTCTCCTGTGTGCTCCTCCTCAGGGGCGGGCCTGGCCCCAGGGGTGACGCTCAAACCTAGGAAGTAGGGCAGTCTTGGCTTTCAGTGTCCCCTCCCCCTCCCCCGTTCTCTCTCTCTCTCTCTCTCTCTCTCTCTCTCTCTCTCTCTCTCTCTGTCTCTTTCTCTCTCTCCTTCCTCCCTGCCTTTCTTCTCCCAGCTCAGGCTCCCCTT